ACAACGTAATAATCTTATTTTAAGATTAGTGATTCGATGCTTTGCATTGTTCGCAAATACTGACCACGGCCAAAGTGCAATTATATTGTAGAATATAAATATAATTAGGTAGTACTGACAAGGCGAGTAGTTACCAACTGATGACTGAAGGAAAATAAATCCTTAGTGAGTTAAGGATCCAGAGAGAGGCCAAAGACTACTAAACTAGGTCATATCTGAGCAAAAGCCGGGGTGAGTCTCTAGTTTAGTTAGATTAACAATAGCTATAGATAGAAATGTATAATTTTTGAATAGCTTAATCTCAAATAAACAGAAGCAGGATTGCCAAATTATAAAAAAAAATATATATATAATTTTTTATCTACATGGATGGTCACAATTATAATCCTGTGTTAAGCTTTGTAAAAATTATATACTACTATATAAACTAGTCTCAACTCTATTTATATATATAATATATCTAAGATAAGAAAAATCCTCTAATAAAATAAAAAAACTTCTTCTACATCAGCACCATAGAGAAGTTAAAAAGGTCAAAAATTCATACTATTAGTCTTAAAACATTGTTTGTTTAGGTTGCTACATTTGAGGCATATAATTATATATACATGTTCTATATATCTACATGTTTGTTGTAACAGGTAAAAGTGTAAACAATGCAACTGATTTGGTAAGAAAACAATATATTGATCTTTTGAAGAGGGTAAGCTAAATCACCCACTTTTTTACAAAATTTTTTTGAAAAAAAAAACAGAGTCAACAAAAGTATGTAAGATTCTTCTGTAAGTTTTACAGTTGTATAAGTGATTCTTCAAGCTTCTATTCTCTCAACAAAAACTTTTTAACTACTACTTATTCTCAGAATACCCTTCTAATTTGGATACCAAATATTTTGAAAAGTCTGTTTAGAAAAATCAAGAAAGCTTAGCCCATTTTTACATAGTAAATAATAGTACTCTTCTACATGTATTGATGATATTTACAATAGTTTTGAGTACTTTAAAGTGCATAGATAAGTTACCCGGGCACACTAGCCAATCATACTATGAAAAATAAGGTTGCAACCCTAATTATTACTTATGGCTGGCAATCTTAGTTGGTATTGCGTATACTAACGTTATTTACAGTAACAAAAACTATATACGTATGTATATAACTTGCTTTCTCGATATGCAATACTTACATAATCACATAACTTGAGCCAGCTCATAGGGCCGGCTCATTATGAGCCGACTCTAAAATAAATATCGATATATAAACTTTTAAACTTTACAAAATTATAGTTAGTGTCATGTGACAAAAAATTTTTTTTATCGGAGTTATTAATATCACTTCCATATGATTACTATTATTTTCGTATGGCAAATGATGATGTCATTTCGTGAAAAAATATCAAGACAAAAAATTCACATAACCATATGAAACGAACAATAAGTTGTAATAATTAGTTTAACTAGTTCTTTTTTGTTAATACTTTTTCTCGATCAAAAGTTATTAGCGTTTCAAAGTTTGTATAATTTTTATTAAATATTATGCACTATACGTATAACTGTTTTTACAATATATAGTATACTGAATTAAAATTTTAATTTAAAAATATTTTTTTTAAACTATTTTATCTATATATCTTTGTATTTTATTTGTAAAATTTGAATTTTTTTATACACAACTAAAGTTTCGAAATTTTGGTTTTATACTAATATAAGGTTTTTATAAATAAGCAACCTATTTTTACAATAATTTAATAAAAACAATATTAATTTGATGTTTTAAATTATTCTATAATGTTAGCTTGTATAAAAAAGTTTTACCAATTTTAAAACTGAAAAAAATCACGGGATTATTGTCTAGACTAAAGCTTTTATTGAATTTTCTTCAAACATAATTGAGTGTCTTGAAGATAGACATTTCAAGCTTTATCGGTAGGGTTGTTAATGGAGTGCTCCAGTTAATAATAAACATATGACCCACTCCGGAGCACTCCAGAAACGGGTTATATGTTTTATTATAGTCTGGAGTACTCCATTAACAACCCTATTTATCGGACACAACACAATCCGAAAAAATCAGATCGAGTCTGGTAAGCAATAAACTTGAAACTCAATAACAAGTGTTTCTTTTGTGGCATCCACTTACAATTGCAGTTGCTATCACAGGTAGAATAATAAACCTTTTCAACAACTATTCTTTAAAAAACCTTAGTATGATATGTAACCTTTATAAATATCTTCTAGATATTTTATATTATATGTAAAAAAGATTTCAATAATAAAGAAAATATTTGGAAAAGTTGCATATCGCACCAAATATTCTTGAAAGTGAAAAAGGTTTATTGTTCTACCTGTGTATCAGCTGTGTACAGTTATTAAAACATTTCAACGAGGCTGTTAAAAACATATATAAAAATTATATCGATATATGTTTTATCTAAATGCATTATGATAAAATCCTAATTTGAGAAAACATAACTGACTGTATTATAATGACAATTTATTCTCACGAACAACTTAATATGTCAAGACTGATTTACTTAATAACACTTATATATTAGTGAACTTTTGGTTTATACGTAACTATTCGTTAATTATTTACAGAATTTTCTGCTATTGTTACTGAATTTTTTTCAAAAAAATACATGCATAGTACTCTACGAGCCACAAAATGCAGTTTACCATATCAAAGACGTTATTTTCCCGGACGTATCACAGAATAGTTTTTTACCCGTGTCTTGGATCATAAATTGTCCACTTTTAGTATTCAAGAATTTTTTCCTATTCGTGAACAAAAGAGATAATTAAAATTCTCTAACGGTTAAGTCTTCGATACATCTTGCAATACCAACCATCTTTTACGCAATATAGCCTTAAAAAAAAAAAAAAGGTTTACAATTACCTGAATGAATGTGTAAATAATTTTTTCTTTCATCTTCTTTTGACGTTTCACACCATTATCTGTTTGATGAATACTCGTAATTTCATCATGCTTTTGTTGCACTTGCTCCCGGGCGATGGCGATTTGATCTGGTAAACTGCATTTTGTGGCTCGTAGAGTACTATGCATGTATTTTTTTGAAAA